CGTGGTTGGGGCCAGGGCGCTGCACTGGCGGAGGGAGGAGACACCAAGTCAGCTGGGCCGTAAGGGCCTAAATGTCTTTCAGGATTGCCCTGCAGAGGCGACTCTCTGGAGTGCTAGGAGGTGAGCCTTGTTGGCACAAGCCTTGTCTTCCACCCATTCCACCTATTCTGATAGTCTCTGGCTTAGTAAGCTTTAGTCTCACACATCTTTTCACTCTGTACGCAACTATAAGAAAGGATCAAGTGATGGTCTCTTGGTGACTTTCTCTTCACTGAAATCCCGCCCATCTCTATCTGTAACCTCTCTGGTATTTCCACATCTACAAAGTTTGGACACTGACTAGAAACAAACCTTTAGTAACGGTTTGGCCGACAACCAGTTAAGATAATTCCCCTATTTTATTTTGCTACTCAAAGATTAAGCAACGATGCTGTTACTGCATTGAACCTTGCAAGCAATTGCCTAACTTCCCTCCTGTAAGTAAAAACAAAAGGGAAAAGGAAGAGAAAGTGTAACATCATAGTCCTTTTTTTTTTCCCCTCTCAATAATATTTATTTGGGAGCTGAACCACACAGCTTGTATTTCTAATCCCCCTGGGGTAGAGTTGAGCCAGCTTTTGTTCCTAAAACTGGGTCTTTAGTGACCATTCTTAAATACACAGCTAAAGTTTATTACCCTCCTTGGGAATCCAAGAATCATAGAATGCTTTGGGATGGATGGAAGGGACCTTTAAAGGTCATCTAGTCCAACCCCCCTGCAATTGGCAGGGATATGTTCAACTAGATCAGGTTGCTCAGAGCCCCATCCAGCCTGTCCTTCAATGTTTCCAAGGATGGGGCATCTACCACCTCTCCGGGGAACCCGTTCCAGTGTTTCACCTATGAATTCATCATTAAAATGGTGGGTAGTATAAGTTAGAATCACATAATGCATAGATGTCCTCTGTACAAAAGCCATGCTCTGGCCTTGCTCTGGTACCAATGGTCAGGAAGGCTGCAGGTCATCTGGTGCTGGATTTCAGAGGAGGGTGTCAGCATTAGGTATCCACCCAGACTAGCTGCCCATTGTGTACCCAGATGCACCTGGAATTTGCATTTCGTGGAAATTCTCAGCTAGAACAAACAACAGAGAAACAAAGAACAAGGGTTTTGTAAGGAATTTTAAATACGGTCTCTTTAGCTCTGCAAGCCCGTAAGAGTCATTGGTTTTGCAAGTTCACAAGTGTTCTAAGAGCTAAATTAGTAGTTTTACTACAGAACATGGACAATATATCTGGTCAAGCAGCAGTGTCAGAAAAGGAATTTGGAGTGTAGTTCAGTGTCATTATGATGCTCTATGTTGCTTACAGTACACAGACTCCTTTGGTTCATGTTGCCATCTGCAATTCTAGTTCTAGCCCGAGTCAGAAATCTCATCTTACTATGTTGTCGTATGGTATAAATGAAGCTATAAAATCCTGTCAGTCAGTATATCACAACTTTCCCTCAACAAACTTCCCCCCACACCTTCCCCCCTTGCTGTCGACTGAGTTGTCAGTCTCTGAGATGGACTTCCAAGGTTGGGGGGGGGGGGCACGGGGGGGGGGGCGGGGGGGGGAGTTGCACATCAGGTATTATAACATTTAATAAACTGTAATATTTAATAACCTTTATCACACTGACAGAATTAATGTGGTGCAAAATTGTCTTTTAAAGTTCTAGGTACCAAAAGAAAGGCAGATCCTGAAAACTTATCCCAAAGACAGCATCCAAACTCCACACCAGATATTTGAAAATAAACTTAGATCTTCCTAAACCCCCATAATTTTCAAAGTTCCATGCAACCAGAAATGTCATTAAGATTTTCCCAAGACTGACTACCATATTTCACTATTTTTTGCAGTGCTCTTGAAGCCATCCAAGATTTTACATGCAGAACAAAGATATTTTGAAGTGCTTGGGCTTTGTTTTCTGCACTTAAGATCTGGTTAACATTTTTTAGGGCTGCTTCAACACAGAGAAAAACACAGACCATTACAGGCCATTTTCTCTGCATCATCACCCTGACCAGAACATGAAGTACCCTACGTCTTATGATGGCTATGCTCACCAGCAGGTTCCTGCATCAATGACAGTCAATTGGAATGACAATGTAATTCAATTTAAACAAGTAAACATAATATTAAAGGTAAAACACACAGAAAAAGGGCTCCATTTCTTCTCTGTACGTTCTTCTTTATTTATTATCCTTAGAGAGCTTTTATCAAAAGACTTTTCTTCCTTGCTTTTCATAGAATGATAGAATCATTCAGGTCAGAAAAGACCTTTAAGATCATCAAGTCCAACCGTTAACCTAGCACTGCCAAGTCCACCATTAAACCATGTCCCTAAGCACCACATCTACCCGTCTTTTAAATATCTCCAGGGATGGGGACTCAACCACTTCCCTGGGCAGCCTCTTCCAATTTTGATAACCCTTTCAGTGAAGAAATCTTTCCTAATATCCAACCTAAACCTCCCCTGGTGCAACTTCCCCTTGTTCTTACCTAGCCTGGAAAGCCAAAGTGATAGATTTGTATATTCCAGGCTTGTACACTGGAAACTGCTATGGTGATGTGAGCATTAATGAGCTTACTAAATCACAAAGACTGAAAGCTGAGCAATTAAAAGAATATTTACTCAGTGTGTTTAATTCTGTGGTTTTGTGCACATGGATTTAATTCCAAAGCCTAATGAGACAATTTTTTTTTTTTAAATATTCAGTATATTTTCCTTTATGAAGGATTGTAGCCATTATTCTGAAAATACGGGTTTTGCTTGAAATCCATAACCACATTCAAGATAAAATACAAAGTATTTATCTGGGGGGGGGTGAGGTGAGGGAAGTGGTTGAGTCTCCATCCCTGGAGGTATTTAAAAGACAGGTAGATGTGGTGCTCGAGGACATGGTTTAGTGGTGGACTTGGCAGTGACAGGTTAACGGTTGGACTTGATGATCTTAAGGGTCTTTTCCAACCTTAACGATTCTATGATACTAAGAGAAAACCAATTCTGAGCAGAGTATTGCTGAAGTAGTAGCATAACTTTTACACTGAAAAAACTCTTTAAACCTGAGTATTTTTGTTAAAAGACAAAAAAAAAATATTATCTACTGCCATACAACTTAGCAACTTTGCCATCCAACCCCAAAAGCTTAGTCATTTTTTAACATATCTTAAAGGGCTATTTGGCTAAGTTAAAAGAAACTATAGCGAAAATTTACTTAAAACCTAAACAAAACGTCTTAAGTACACCATTTAATAAAATCGCACCTTTATTTTTTATATAGCAAGTTAAAAAAATTAATTTTAGTGAGTGCAGAAAGTATCCCTTGATTTACTTTTTGGGCCAGATTCACTTTTTGCCTAATTAAGCTGATTTCAGTAAGAATTACGGCTACTTAAGCAAGGCTGAATTTATGTCCAGATGGAGGAGGTAAGCACAGGAAAGAATGTGAAAAAGGTGGTGCTTTTCAAGCTTTGTGTGTTTTGCAGGTGTTCGGTTAGTACCAACTCTGACTCAGACCATCTCAAAGTAATGAACAGAACCAGGCAACATGAAAAGATGCACTCTATCCTACACTATAAGAACTAAAGTTACTGGGAAAGGGAAGTGAAGTTTTGGACCAGTCTTAGACAAATGATGCATTTGGTATGCACGTGTATAGGAGAAGGCAACAGAAAGCACTTGGTAACGTTGTTCTAGGTCTGTGAAGTGAACCTAAGTAAGTTTATCAAAGTCAAAATGTAAATCTATTACACAAGCAAGAGAAGTGGTGAAGATATGTTCATGATCGGACCAGGCTGCTCACAGAGGTGGTGCAGTCTCCATCCTTCAAGGTTTTCAAGCCCAAATTGGATGACCTTGTGTGGTCTCAGAGATGACCCTGATTTGAGCAAGAGGTTCGACTAGAGACCTTCTAAG